TGAACATTGGACTTCTTCCTTCATTATCATTGGCTCTTGGTCATATGCTACATCTTGATATGGTTGAACAGACCTTTTCTTTTTGGTACAGTGACTGTATTCCTTCCATCTTCTTTTGATGCCTTCTGCATTTCAGTATTTTGCTGATAGAAACCTTCAATATTGCAAGTTAAAGGCTGGAATTTTTTTTTCTTTACTTCCCTCAGCTTGAGAAATGCTGAACATGTTCTTCACATTTGGTTTTCTAACTCCAGGTCTTTGCATGTTTTATTATAAGATTTAACTTGTCTTCTTGAGCTACCCTTTGAGACTTTCCATTCAGATCTTCTACCTCATCTTTTCTTCAATTTGCTTTAGCATCTCCTAGCTGGAGAGCAAGTTTCACTCGCTTCTGATGTCCATTTTAGTCTTTTCCTTCTTTCTTGTCTTCTTAATGATGCTTTAGTTTCTCCCTATATGCTATGCTTGATGTCATGCCACAAATCTTCTCTTCTTCCAGAATCACGGCAGCATGCAAAGGACCACAGTTCCACAAACTGACAGAAGAGTGCTCGTCTTCTGTTTTAAGTCTGTTCAGGTTTTCTACTTCACTCATTGTTAGTTTAGGTAGTTCATGTTTTCCTAAAATCGTACCCGTCTATTTCTAGATTTCCAAATGTTTTCAAGCACAATTCTTTTTTTTTAGGTTTGATTGTAAATTGAGTGAAAATTGACAAGGCAGATCATCAGTTTTGCATTAAACAAATCATATATTTTGTTTCATTATAATGATTATAACCCCCTTCATGTACCATCAGTTAATAGTATTTCTCTCTAGTTATTTTAGCTCTTTTTTAAAAAAATTATTTTTTAAACACTCAAGCATATATAATAATTTACTCCATGAAAGGGCACATTCTGCAAGTCTGCTTCCTGGCCACCAGATCTCATTCCCTCTCTTTCCATAAATCTAGAGTCCTCAGCTGCTCTATCTCTCCATGTCTTCATCTCTGCCTCCATATCTGGTGTTGCTGCTTCTTCAGATAAGGTCCCACATTCCGCTTGTGCTCTTCTTCTTGGATGGTCCTAGGGTCCTCTGTTTCTGGGACTGTAAGATTAACAACTCCCCGGTTTTTGTTACTGGAGCACAATTGTTGTTCATGTTCTGTTACTATCCTTCTAATATCCGTTGTTTCTGTGGTGACTTCAACCACATCATTTCTTATGTGCATTGTTTGCATATTCTTCCTCTCTTCTCTTTTTTTTGTAAGATTTACCAATGGTTTGTCAGTGTTTTTAATCTTCTCAAAGAACCAACTTCTTGTTGATTCTTTCTATTGTTTTTCTGCTTCTGATTCATTTATTTATGCTCTAATCTTTAGTATTTCTCTTCATCTCGTGATTGTAGGCTTACTTTGCTTTGTTGGTCTTACTGATGGGGATGTTATGTTAATATGTTGAATTTGACCCCTTCTTCTTTGTGGAAGAAATTTGTGCATTTATTGCTACAAATTGCCCTTTAAGCACGGTTTTTGCTGTGTCCTAGAGGTATTTTGATGGTTTAAAATTTATTGTCACCTGCTTAGCGGCCAAACATGTGGTCTATTTTGAAGAATGTTCCATGTGTACTTGGGAAGAATATTTTTGTACTGTTGTTAGATTGCTTGTTCTGTATAAATCTATGAGGCCAAGTTCATTGATTGTGTTTTTTAGTTTCTCTCTGTCTTGGTTGAGTTTCTCTCTAGTTCTGTCCTATAAAATTAGATATCAACAATAAAATCAAATACGTGGGAACTGAGTAATACCCTGCTGGAAAACTGCTGGGTGATAGAATAAATAAAAAACAAAATTTTAAAATCCCTTGAATAACCAACAGTAAAAACACAATATACCAAAACATCTGTTGTTTTTAGGTACCATCAAGTCCATACTTACTAATGGTGACCTTATGCACTTTTTTCTTGATACTAGGGAAATTTTCTTCCTGCAGCTCTTTGACTATCTTTTCTGTCCTTTTCTTGTTTCATCCTGTTCTGGAATTCTGATTGCTCGCAGGTTATTCTTCATGTTGTCTCACATGAATCTTAGACTTTCTTCATATGTTTTCATTCCTTTTTCTGATTATTCTTCTAGTTTAGAGTCAGAACTGATTCAATGGCACTTAACAAAATCAACATGAACATTCATGTTCAGTTCTTTGAGTAGGGATATGTGTATATTTTGTTTGGATAGGTCCATAGGTGCTAGACAGCTGGGTTGTGTATAGGTGTGTTTTTTTGTTGTTTCTTTAAGAAACTACCAGGTTTTCCACATATTATTTTATATTCCCATCATCAGTGTATGAGTTAACTTAATGTTGTTGCCAACACTTGCTATAATCATATTTTAGTGGGTGTGAAGTTGCATATCATTATGGGTTAACTTTGCATTTCCTTAATAATTAATAATGTTGAGCATTTTTTCTGTGCAAATTTGTCATTGTATTCATTGTTTGGTAAAATGTCAGTTTCAATCTTTTATCTACTTTATTACTGGTTTATTTTATTAATAGAGTTTTGAGAGTTCTTTAGATAATCTGGATAGAAATCCTTTATTAGTTATATGATGTGCAGTATTTGTTGTATTTTGTACCTTTTCATTTGCTTAGCAGTGTAACTGGCGTTATTTTCACTTGTCAGACAGCATGACTTCTTAAAAGCATTCAACTTTAAGGTCATCCTTTTAAGCTTGACTATTACATTATATTTCCATTATCACATCAAACAAAATTTAACATTTTCAGATGGAATTTTCGAGAAGGCATTTTTGCATTTTGGGGAAATTTTTCATTTGATACTAACAGTATAGATAACACTTGTTTTTCTTCCTGTGTTTTGGAAAATGTCCTATCATAGCATCTTTTTCATAGATCCAATAGCTGCAGAACTTTAGTTTGCAGTGATCACCAGTCATTTTTCCTTATCATTCCAGTCAATAATTTGACAGCCTGAGGATGCAAGCTTTAGAAGTGAAGGCTGCTACAAGGTAATTCAGAATGTCTGGTATTCCACTTCCTTGTTGTTGTTTAGTGCTGTCCAGTCGCTTCTGACCCATACTGACCCTGTATAGGGTTTCCGAGGAGCAGCTAGTGAGCTTGAACTGCCGACCCTGCAGTTCAAATGGCTTTGCAGTCTGGTGCATTAACCTACAGCATTGCACCAGGACTCCCCTTTTGCTGTTGTTAGGTGCCATCGAGTCATAGTGACCTTATGCACAGCAGAATGAAACACTGCCCGGTCCTGGGCCAACCTCACTACTGTTGCCACACTTGAGTCAATCGATGCTGCCACTTGGCCAATCCATCTCATTGGGGCTCTTCTTCTTTTTCTCTGACCCTCCACGTTACCAAACATGATATCCTTCTCCAGAGACAGATCCCTCCTGACAATATGTCTGAAGTTTGAGAGACGAAGTCTGGCTGCACTTCTTTCAAAACAGATCTGTTGGTTCTTTTGGCAGCCCATGGCACTTTCAATATTCTCCTCCAACATCACAATTCAAAGGCATCAATTCTTCCACAGTCTTCCTTATTCACTATCCAGCTTTCACATGCATATGTTGTTGTTGTTGTTGTTAAGTGCCATCGAGTCGGGTCCGACCCATAGCGACCCTGTACAGGGTTTCCGAGGGTGTAAATCTTTACGGGAGTAGAAAGCCTCATCTTTCTCCCGTGGAGCGACTGGTAGTTTCGAACCGCTGACCTTAAGGTTCGCAGCCAATACCATGGCTTGGGTCATTCGCACCTTAGTCCTCAAGCTGACTGACATCTTCGCTCTTCAACACTTTAAAAAGGCCTGTGCAGCAGAGTTGCCTAATGCAATATGTCATTTGATTTCTTGACTTCCATGAGTGTTGATAGTTGAGCCAGAAGAATGAAGTCCTTGACAACTTCAATGTTTTCTCCGTTAATAAGAATGTTTATTGGTCCAGTGGTGAGGATTTTTGTTTTCTTTACATTGAGATGCAATCCATACCGAAGGCTGTGCTCTTTGATCTTCATCAGTAAATGTTTTAAGTCTTAAAATGGAAAAATGATCTTGATAGTAAGGTCCATCTTCCAAATGACAGCCCTATTCCTGCTGTCCTCCTAGCTTAAAGATGTGACCAGGAGTTTGAGGGTGGCTACAGTCCTTCATAGAACTGCATTTCAGTCTTATCTTCTTTAGTCAGTAGAGCTGTAATCTCAGCCAAGCATCTCTTTGTGTGTTTCTGTATCTGTCAGATGGAGATAAGGGTACTTTACACTTCAAAGATTAGTACCACACAAGACACAGTAAGAGAATGCTTTGCAACTTCTGATATGATCTACTAAGCAGTAATTTTTTTTTTTAACCAAAGCATTCAGCATAATTTAAATTATCTTAAAAGTACAATGCTGTTTGAAGCACTCTGCAATTGACCTTTCTTGTAATAATACAATCAACTGTACTGCTTTTTATTCCCAAATGGTAGACTTCCATTCATCTTGTGTTCTCAAAGGAAGGCAAGCTTGCATATTGAGCCAAAAGTGGGTATAGGCTAGAGATGTGAAGGAAAGATGAATTGAGAACATGAGCTACTTTATCTCGTTTTCAGTAACATTTTACCCACTATACTTATCTTCTTCCTGCAAGCTTCATTTTTTTTCTATTTTTGCACTTCCTCACTACTCCCAGTTTTCTTTTTTTCCTTTACTATGTCTCTTGTCTTAGAACAAGGAAAGAAGGGTAAAATGACTGACTTTGTCATATTGAAATTGATGGAGAGTAGGTTGTACATGCATAGAACATAAAACTAGTTTATTATTTACTCAAACCATGTGACAAGCCCTTTTTGCTTTTTGAGTAGTGGATGTGTGTTGGTGTTCTTAATCTCACCCCTTTGTAGTGCTTTAGAATGGAAGAAATTTGTTTATACCATTATTCTTAAGGTCTAAGAGGTTACATCTAAATATAGATGCTGTTTGAGTTATGGTTCTTTGATCTCTTATTGTGTCTTTCTAGGACAGGAACGGTTTGGCAACATGACACGAGTCTATTATAGAGAAGCTGTTGGTGCTCTTGTAGTCTTTGATATATCGAGAGGCTCCACATTTGAGGCAGTCTTAAAATGGAAAAATGATCTTGATAGTAAGGTCCATCTTCCAAATGGCAGCCCAATTCCTGCTGTCCTCCTAGCTAATAAATGTGACCAGAAAAATGATGGTGGCCACAGTCCTTCACAGATGGACCAGTTCTGCAGAGAACATGGCTTCAGTGGATGGTTTGAAACTTCTGCAAAGGTGAGATCTCTTTTGCTTTATGAACCTGCTCTGCTGTTTAGATTGTAAATTTGAACTCTAATTATGAAATGTTATTTGTGTGGTTTTTGGAAGCTGATAAACAGTGAAAACTAACATGGACATGTTATTGCTTCTTTCAGTATGTAACAGCAGTGCTTTCAAAATTGGCCAATGGGGAGGTCAGCAGAAGGGCAGATTTTTTTTTAATTAAAATAAAAATGGGCTACTTATTTAGAGCAGAGATTAACAAAACAAACCAAAACATTTTTCTGTGAATTTTGATCTTCAAATGAGATCCTTATACCACTTGAGTTGACAGAGGGGGAAGCGTTAGGAAACATACATGTTTTTGATTTTTACCGAGGCCTAAAGGGACAGGAGGGGGTGTCTCTGGTGAACACATAGTGTAGGTCCCCTACACTAATGAAGGCAATGAAAAGGTCAAAGAGAAGATTTATTCAAATGATGTTTGAAGAGTTGTAGATTAACTGAGTACGAATGAATTCGAATAAGGAGAAAGCATTAACATTTGTGACATGCTTCTTCATGAATAACAGGCAAAATGTGATTTTTTTTTTCTGTCCTTTACGGAATCTGGATGAAATGTTTTTTGAAGGGGGAAAAAATAAAAAGATCTTTTCCAGTGTAACCTGGAAACAGAATACTTATGTTGGATATCAAATCTCTTTATAGTCAAGATGACAGCTAACAACTACAACAGCAACACCTATAGGTATTTAAATTTAAAAAATACAGAAAGCATACTAAAAACTGGAACTGTATTTAGATTACTAAATGTATGATTTAGTGACTGCTCAAAACAGCCACCACTCGTCTGTCAGTTTTCCATGCTGTGGTGGCTTGCATGTTCCTGTGATTCTGGAAGATATGCCACCAGTATTTTAAATACCATCAGGGTCACCAATGGTGGGCAGGTTTCAGCTAACACAGACTAGTAAGGAGAGACAGACTAGTGTAGAATATTTAGTCGCTGTAAAAACGATGAATAGTAGTGGAACACTGTCAGATAGTACCAGAATATTAAATATTGAACCCTAATGAAGAGCACCAGAATATTGACAGATATAGTGCTGAAAGATGAGCACCTCACCTTGAAAGGCACTCAAAATATGACCGGGAAAGAGCTGCTTTGTGAAAGTAGAGTTGCCTATGATGGCACAAATGGAGTGAAGTTTTGGGGACCTTCCTTTGCTGATGGGGCAAAGCTCCAAATGAGGGGAAACAGTTATACATATTCATTAATAATCAGAACATGGACTGTTCAAAGTATGAATCTAGGAAAGTTGGAAATTGTCAAAAATAAAATTGAATGCATAAACATCAACATCCTAGGCATTAATGAGCTGACAAGGACTGGTATTGGCCATTTTGAATCTGACAATCATGTGGTTTACTATGCCAGGAATGATACATTGAGGAGGAATGGTGTTACATTCATCATCAAAAAGAACAATTCAAGATCTCTCTTGAAGTACAGTTCTGTCTGTAATATAATAATAATCATATGCCTATAAGGAAAACCAGTTAATGACATTATTACTTAAATTTATGTACTAACCACTAAAGCCAGTGATGATGAAATTGAAGAATTGTACCAACTTCTTCAGTCTGAAATTGATCAAACATGCACTCAAGATGTAGTCAGAACTACTGGAGATTGGAAAGTGAGAGTTAGAAGCAAAGAGAAATGATTAGTAGTTGGAAAATATGGCCTTGGTGACAGAAATAATTCTGGAGATCTCGTGATCAAATTTTGCAAGAGCAATGACTCATTCATAGCAAATGCTTTTTTAAAACAGCATAAAAGGCAGTTATACATATTGAGCTCACCCGATGGAATACACAGGAATCAAACTGATTACAGCTGTGGAAAGAAGTGGAAAAACACAATATCATCAATCAAAACAAGGCCAGGGACGGACTGTGGAGCAGACATATGAGCCATTGCTCACATGGAAGTTCAGGCTGAGGCTAAAAAAATTAAAATAAGTCATGAAAGCCAAAATATGACCCCACCTAAATCTGGAGGTCACCTCAAGAACAGATTTGATGAATAGGTACTAATTAGCAAGACAAGAAGGAAGAGTTGTGGGATGACATCAAGAATATCAGAAAGAAAACAAGGGGGGGAAAAAGAGAAGAGACTCTAAGACTTGCTCTCCAGTGTTGAGATGATAAAGCAAATGGAAGAAATGAGGAGCTAAAAAATCTGAACAGAAAATTTCAAATGATAGGTCTTGATGACAAAGTAAAATATTATAATGAAGTGAGTAAAAATCTGGAGTTAGAAAAACAAAAAGGAAGAGTATGCTCAATATTTCTCAAGCTGAGGGAACTGAAGAGAAAATTCAAGCTTAGACTTGAAATGTTGAAGGATTCTATGGGCAAAGTATTGAATGATGCAGAAAGCATCAAAAGAAGACGGAAAGAATACCCAGTCACTGTACCAAAGAGAAATGGTCAATATTCAACCAATTCAAAAGTTAGCTTATGATCCAGAACCAACAATAACTGAAAGAAGAAGTCCAAGGTACACTGAAGGCAATGGCAAAGAATCAGACTCTGGGAATTGATGGAATACACATTGAAGTCTTTCAACAAACTGATGGGGTACTCATCTATGCCAAGAAATTTGGAAGACAGCTACATGGCCATATTTACATGCTTGGTAAAGTGAAGGGTCAGTGTAAAAAAGGAAGTGACCCAATGAGATGGATTGGCACAGTGGCAGCATCAGTGGTCTCAAGCATAGCAGTGATTGTCAGTTTGGCGCAGGATTGGCCCATGTTTTGTTCTGTTGTACACTCGGTCTCTATGAGTTGGTACAAACTCCAAGGCACCTAATAACAACAACATGAGCCCCAAGCTAGAGACCATTTGTTTAAATAGGTACATTGTAATATCTCAAAAATTAGTTGCACAAGCTTAATGCTTGAAAGAACGGGTTCAAAAAGATACATGTACACAGATGTTCATTACAGCATTATTCACAATAGCCAAGAATACCAGGAAGATGTATACCTGTGTTTTATTGACTATGAAAAAGCTTTCAATTGTGTGGATCATAACAAGCTATGAACAACATTGCGAAGCATGGAACACTAAATTGTGTTCATGAGGAATCTGTACATAGACCCAGAGGCAGTTGTTTAAACAGAACATGGGACACTGAATGTTTTAAAATTAAGAAAGGTATGTGACAGGGTTTTATTCTTTCACCATACTCATTTAACCTGTATGCTGAATAAATAATCTGAGAAAATGGGTTATATGAAGAGAAATGTGGCATCAGGATTAGAGGAAGACTCATTAACAACCTACGATATACAGACGATACAACATTGTTTGCTGAAAGTGAAAAGGACTTAAAATATTTATTAATGAAGATCAGAGAGCACAGCCTTCAGTATGGATTGCATCTCAATATAAAGAAAACAAAAATCATCACCACTGGACCAGTAATCAACATTCTTATCAATGGAGAAAAGATTGAAGTTGTCAAGGACCTCATTCTTCTTGGATCAACCATCAGCACTCATAGAAGCAACAGCCAAGAAATTAAAGGACGTATTGCATTAGGCAAATCTGCTGCACAAAAACTGTTAAAAGTATTGAAGAGCAAAGATGTCAGTTTGAAAACTAAGGTGAACCTGGCCCAAGCCATGGTATTTTCAATAGACTTATTTGCATGATAAAGTTGGACAGCGAATAAGGAAGACTGTAGAAGAATTGATGCATTTGAATTATGGTGTTGGAGGAGAATATTGAAAGTACCATGGATTTCCAAAAGAATAAATTGATCTATGTTAGAAGAAGTACAGCCATAGTGCTCTTGGAACCCAGGATGACCAGACTTTGTCTCTCATACTTCTTAAATATTGTCAGGAGGGGCCAGCCACTGGAGAAGGATATCATGTTTGGTAAGGTGGAGGGTCAGAGAAAAAGAGGAAGACCCCCAGTGAGATGGAATGGCTCAGTGTCATCATCAATGGACTCAAACATAACGATTATGAGGTTGGCCCAAGACTGGGCAGTGTTTTGTTCTGATGTGCATAGGGTCACTATGAGTCGGTACTGACTCCATGGCACCAAACAACAACAACAACAACAACAAGGATGGAAACAACCCAAGTGTTTATCAACATATGATTGGTATATAAAATGTGGAATGTACACACAAAGGATTATTAGCCTGGGAAAGGAATGCAGTTCTGATACATACTGCAAACATGGGTGAACCTTGAAACATTATACTAAGTAAAGTAAGTCACACACTAAAGATAAATTCAGTATGATCTCACTTAAGTGAAATATCTCAAATAGACATGCGACTAGTGACAAAAGATTGTGAGAGAGTAAAGGGAAAGGGAATGATGGGTTCTTGTTTGAGAAATACTACACTTCTTTTTTGGATTATGAAGAGACTCGGAAGTAAATAGTAATGATGGATATTCAACTTGATGAATATCACAAATATCACTGAACTGTACATTTAAAAATGATTAAAATGATAAAATTATGTTGTATATTTTACCACGATAAGGTTTTACAATGATTCCATAAATTAAAAGTAGTGTAGAAAGAGAAGTGAAGTTGAGCAATGCTGCCTGACACAGCCAGACCAGAGGGGAGATGCTATAGCAGTCAAAGCCCTGGACAACGTGTCCTTTGTTTACACTGTGTGTCAGGTGACTTGCTTTTCTTGCCAACTTTCATTATAGATTAACATTGACACAATAAAGCCGGATACCCTTTACCTCCAAGTTTATTCTGACTGATAGATAACCAGCCTGTTGGACAGGATAGAATTACCCCAGATTACCAAAGCTGTAGTCTGTGAGGAAGCAGAGTTCCTATCTTTCTCCTGCAGAGCCACTGGTGGGTTTGCCCATGGCACAACCACTGCAAAACCAGGTTCCTTTATTGACACAATACTTTTATATAATTTACTGATTTTGATTATTATACTTTGGTTTTCTATGATATCAGTATTTGAGATTAAAGTGTATCTAGGATTTTTTTTTTTTTTACTATTTTTGGAACAGTTTTGTAAATCTGAAATGATTTGAAAATGAAAAATTAATTTTTTTAAGAAGTATTTTTGCTGGGCTGTGTATTGAATATTTAAAGTCAACTTATAAATCAGTTGATTTATAAGCTCAGATGTTGTTGTAGCTAATAATTTCTTAGATTATCCCTCATGGACATTATGCCCACAACATTGCTTCAGGTGAATTTATAATACTTTATGCTCAGAGATGAGGGATGACATGATGCATTTATTAATGTGATTTGAGCCCTTTAACTACTTTTTCTGTCTTCACCATGCATCTTGAATACTTGAGTTTCATATTCATGGGCAGGGATTTTCAGTCTGAGTTTTTTAATTTACAGGAATAGTATCCAGAGCAGGGTGAAGATTTATTTTCAACCATTTAGACAGCTCACTAAACCTCAATGGCAGTTTCAAATAGGAACATCAAAAAGAGTGATTCTTTGTAAAGAGAAGAGGGTCCCGTCGCCACATTATTTAGTAACGTTGGACTCTTAGGACCAGACACTTTGGCCTTAGAGAAGAAACTGGTAGCTGGTCTACTTACATGGCATGTCCCCTCTGATGAATTTTCCTAGTTCCCACCAGTACCCTTAATGCTTTCTTCTAGGAATTGGCACTGATATATTACTCATTTCTCCAATGCAGAATAACATAAACATAGAGGAAGCAGCCCGATTCCTGGTCGAGAATATTCTTGCAACCCACCAAAGTTTTCCTAATGAAGAAAATGTGGACAAAATTAAACTGGATCAGGACACCTTGAGAGCAGAGAGCAAATCCCAATGTTGCTAGTCCGGCCCCTGCATCTCTCCCGCCAAACGCAGCCTGACTTGGGTCCCAGTGAATTCCTGAGGACAGATTATGGATAACACGCGTGCCTTGTTATTCTTTATACAGATGGATCTCTAAAATGACAGCACCCTGGGAGCCCACGCTCATTTAAATATGGGACCTTCAGTGGCACATTCCTCTGAGTGGCTTCTACAACTGCACAGATGAACACTTAGGCTTGGGTGGTGGTTGCCCTGATGTTGAGGAGAATGTTGACATTATGGCTCACATCTTTTTCAATGCAGTTCTTAAAGATTTGATTTAACTTCACGTGAGAGCCTTTAGTGATCTCTGGGGGGTGGTAATAAAATTCCTGGCAGTCTTCTGGGCCATTTGTGAGTCTAGATTATTGCCTCCACCTTCTCCCTTCTCTCTCCATAGAGTGACTGTAGCTTTGCTTAGACCTTTAACCACAAAAACCTTGACGTTCCTGCTAAGCAGTTTTGTTTTGTTTTGTTTTCTTCTATTCAAATATTTGGTGCTTCAAGTATAATTGCTACCCTTAAATATTATAACTTAACTAGGCCTAATGAGTTCTAATGTCACCTTCTAGGCCTGGGTTCTACTGCTCAGTAACAATACAAATGAACATTTTTTTGTCTTGTCTTGGTTCTGTCTCTCTTCTTCTTATATGTTTATGTTTATAACTAATGTTACTCTTATAGTTATCGCTAAATATACTGTTTTTTTCTGTTGTTGTTTTTAAATCTGTAATTGTGGTGGTCAAAGAGAACATTTATTTCAAAGCATATACAATTAAATTTGAGATTCTGTGGTATTAATTCAAAAAAAACAAGCTCACGTTTTTATTAGGTTTTATATAAGGTTTTGAACATTTAATATAAAATACCTGAGCAACTGAAAGCAGACTAACAATATTTCTATTATCATTTAACCAAATTTTGGAAAAGAACTGAACCCTCTGTTTTAAGTTAATGCAGTTATAGGAAAGTAATATGGGGCACACTTTTCTGCCTTAGAACATTTGAATCTACTTCCTTTTCCTTCTTATTTTCAAGGGACTCAATTATACATGTGAAAAATCAAATTTATTTCTTTCAAAAGAATTTCAAAGGTCTTTGTGAGATAATCCAAAGCTAACGCATAATGAGAATTGGATTGTTATGCTACATATTATGCATGAATTTGGATGGGAAAAATCTATGTATTCACTGGAAGAAGAGATTAAAAACAAAAAACAAAAAAAAACCTAGCATGGAATTGCATTTTCCCAAACAGGTGTGTTCTGGTAATAAACAATAATTGTCATGGGCCATAATATATAGCTCTCTCTCCTCACATTATAACTAAGTCTTATCTAGAAATGACAAATTAGTTCACATGTTATGTAGCTAGCTAACAAATACTTTGACCTCTCTGGACATATACTGTATGTTGTTGTTGTTAAGAGTTGGTTCCAACTTATAGCAATTGTATATAGGACTTCCAAAGACTATCTGGTAGATTTGAACCACCAATCTTGTGATTAGCAGTTTAGTACTTATCCTACAGTGCCACACCAGGACCCCATGTCTATGCAGAATCAATTGTTTTGAATTCAAAGAAATAAAAAAAAGAATACCCTGGTTTGTGTAACACATATCATTAAAATAATATAACTAATTTTGGTTTTGTTTAAATATTGCATTCAATCTTGCTTTCCAAGAATCAAGTGGCATACTTTAATTTTTTTCTCTAGCTTCAAAGTGCAAGTTTTAAACCTTTTTTATATTCCAGAGTCCAACAGTGTAATTAGTATGAACTTTTGGTGTATAAAAAAATTAAGAACATAAAGCTTATTCTAGAAAGTGACTGAAATATGCGTAGAATTGTCTCTTATAAATGCATTATTTTAGTCTTTACAGGAAATCTACCCTGTGTAAATTGAGTCCACAGCTGATTTATCATCAGGGCTAGTACGCATTCTTTGATCACCTTTACCATACCTATTTTCTTAGGTTCCCCTTCGGATTTGTCTTTGTAAGTGCTGTTGAGTTCAGGGTTCCTGAGGCTGTACATTTTTATGGGATCATAAAGCTTCATCTTTCTCCTAGAGAACAGCTGGTGGATTTGAACTGTCATCCCTGTGGCTAGCAGTCTAGTGTTTACCCTACAGCACCACCAAGGCTACTTATATAACAATTTATTATATTTACCATTTCCTACATTTAAGATAATTATAACTGAGTAAATCTTTTTCTTTACTCCTAAATCTTCCTCAGAGTTTATTTTTGTAATTTTAACCTAAAATTTGAATTTAAGTTATGTAAATTATTAAAGGCAAGAAGTATTGCTTCCTTATTTATGTAAAAGAAATCAGCTGCCTTTATTTTTTATCTGCGTGCTCTGGTAGCGTAGTGGTTACGAATCGGGCTGCGAACCTTAAGGTCAGCGGTTCGAAACTACCAGCCGCTCTGCGGGAGAAAGATGAGGCTTTCTAC